GAGATTCAATCTTGCACAGAGCAGTTCTACTACCAGAATTTAAATGAGCTAGTGTCCATCTCCCAAAACACTGCCTCATGGCTAAAATCTTGGCAAGATCAGAAATATACCACTAGGAACATATTTCATGCACAGGATAGGAAGCGACCTCCTGATCCTCCAAACCTCAGGTCAAGAAAGTCATTGAGTAAAAGTCCTTCATAAATTCCTGAAACTTTAGTTTAACCCCAAGTTATTTTTTTTCTTCCTGTGTGGGTTGGAAATCGTTCTCTAAGATCCATTCTCTAGCCTATCTGTAGAGCTCCTATGCCCATTTCTTCTTGCACTGACATTGTCCTTGGTTCTAAGTGGCCCTTCAGTTTCTAACGTTTATCTAACGGTGATGTATTTATAGGCAGCAGTAATACTTGCCAGCCTTCATCTTGCTAGGCTACAATACTACTACTTCAGACACAGCTTATGAAATCTTCCATATTTTAAAAATATAGCTCTCTGGGTACACTTTTAATTACCGGTATTATTGCAGGAATTCATGAGGGCTCTGCTCTCCTCCGTGGTTCTTGCTCTAGGTAGGCTCTATACAAAGAGTCTAAAGAACTAGTCATGCAGACATGGGATGAGAGGGGGGTGAGTAAAGGCGGTGGGAGGAGAAGACATTGGCCTAAGGTTTATCAGTAGGAAAAGTGGTTTTGTCCTTTGCCCGAGTTTGTCAGATGAGACGCTTCACATAGCTGCAGGCTGTACAAGCACTTCAGGTGTTTTGTATTCAAAGACCATGTCATTGCGTATGTGCTTATTTACAGAGCTCCATTGTCTTCATTCCTGCCTTGCTTCAAGAACCTTACTATGGACTATGACAGGGTGGGAGAGAGTGCTGTCTCCAAACCTACAGCCATCGCGTTCACTGAACATACGCTCTGCAATTACCGGTATTTATGAAGAAGTTTAAAAAATGCCATGTGCCTGAATCATTATTCAAGGCTCTGCTGAGTGGCAGATGGAATAGATTTAACTAAGCCAGGTGGAAAGCCAAGAGATGAAGGGGAAAATGGAGAAATGACATGCACTCATGAATACAGTTAGTTGACTTGAACATCCCTCCTATGACGAGACTGAGAGAATCGGGGCTGTTTAGTCTTGAAAAGAGAAGGCTGAGAGGGGATCTTATTGATGTATATAAATAGTTGAGGAGTGGGGGTCAAGAGGAAGGTGCCAGTCCCTACACAGTGGCGCCCAGTAATAGGTCAAGGAATAATGGGTATAAGCTAGAACATAGGAAGCTCCGCCTCAACACGAGGACGTACTGCAAGCCAGGCTGAAGATCAAGAGGCAGTTCAAAGGAGCTTGGAACAGGGGAGGATAAAGGAAAGTAGATCTTCCTCTCCTAAACCCTGGGAGACAGCTGGGGGACAAAAATAATTAAAAAAAAACTATGTTGTTTCAAGAAAAAAATGTTTCAGTCTTTTGTGAGAAAAAAAGTGAGATTTTGGAAATTTGGCTGTAATCATGAGAAAGAAAGGAGACACTGTTTCAGACCTATAAAAAAAGCGTAGATGTTTTAAAAGGAAAGTAGAAGGAGGTAAATTTAGGGGCAATAGGAAAGCAAAACTTCCTTCAAATCCTCAATTTGCTTTTGTTACCACCATATCAGTGACAAAGGATATCATGTCAATGTTTGCGAGTTTAGTTTTTTTTAGATCTGCCTTTATCCAGCAATCTGTGCAGAAGGACATGTCATTTCCAGTCTTATCTTCCTTCCAGCACCACTCTTCTTTATTGGATTCAAAACTCAGCAGGGATCTAGAGGTTTCCCAGAACAAATACCAGCCTTCTTGTACCACTTCTACTGCACAAATAAAACATCTCCTGATTGAATCCAGCCAGGTCACTGCTGGCCATTGCCAGCACATTGTCTAACAGCAAGTGAGGAGTTTTACAAAGGACTCTCATTCCACCTCATAGGCTGGTGTAGCAGTGAACTAACAAGGAAAAAGCTAGGACAAAGCAGTTTAGGTTTGTGCATTATCAGCAATAGTAAAGGAAAAAATTGATTCAAAAGAGCATAAGAAACATTTTAATACTTTTACTTGTTTGTATTTGTTTGTTTTTTTCCTTCAGTTTGATTGCTATGACTGCTAACAGGATTCCTCCTATGGAAAATTTACATTCTACTAGTGAGAATATGTGATTATATGTCAGACAATGAGAGCTGTGTCAGCAGGAGCTGCCTGCGTGCACCCAAGTGGGTGGATCAAACCTTTACTGTTAATGAGGACACACAGATATAAGATTCATAGTAGTGCAGACACATTTAACAATGCTCTCTGAAGTGCCCTGACCAAATCTCTCCAGATCCTGCATTGGAGATCAGTGCAGCTCTACAGCTCATTTGGTTTATGCACAAATTCCTTGGTTTTTTTCTTCTCAGCCTATTTCTTTTTATTTGTGCGTTTGTTTTGTTATGCATTTTAAAGACAGCATGGCTCTCACACTTCTAAGACCACCTACATGCTGACCATGAGGAACCATCCTTGACTTAGATCTTTAGGAGCGATCTCAATGACTCATTGCCATTCACTCAGTACGACAATATTAATCAAGCCCTCTCCCATAAGCTGGGCTTCACTTTTTATCATTTAGGTGCTAAATGAAATGTTTACTGGCTTATTTTTCATTGCACAGCCAAGAAGGAAGGATTGGTTCCTATGTGACAGAACTGGAGAGAACAAGGCTGGAATAGGTCTTTAAAATAAAATTGAGTCTCTGGCTGAGTTCTCCTCCCTTCCCAGTTGTGTTGGGGTGTCCTGGCACCCAATGATGTTATTACTTGCTGCTACATCTGAGATTTATGACCCTCAGAATATTTTTCAGCATACAGTTCCTTAGAGTTTAGACAGTAGAACATTTCTACTGGCCTGGAAGGTCGGTTGTGAATGAAGGACTGGGGGTCACATAAGGAACTGAGGAAGATGGGAAATGGGGACAAGATGATGTATGATAGATTTGTAAGAATAGGGACGAGACTCAGTTCTTTCCCCTTCCCATTTCAGTAAAACTGAGGACTAAGCTTCCCATCAATGTAGCAGCTGCCTGTTCTGGGGCTTTACAGTAGTGGTGAAACTCATCTCCAAAAGAACACCCATCTCACTAGTTGATCACCAAAGCACTGCTCTTTGCCATGCCAGCCAGATATTTAACCTGCTCTTAATATCTCCGGGGTGAGAGATCCCACAGCCTTTCTAGCAGTTATGTTCCAATACAGCAGGTAGGCTTCAGTCCCTTCCTTCACACAGGACTGCCTTTGGTACTCCATCTGCACTGTCAGAGCAAAGGAAAATCAAGCAGATGATGGGTGAAAGCATAAAAATACAGAGCACTTGTAGAACTTGAGCCTTCCCAGACGTCTCTTCACAGGCAGCAGGCACTCATGGAGTGAGGTGGATGGGTGGAATAAGAGGCAGGAGTAAGGAACAGATAGATTTCTATCTTAGACCATGTTGTGGAACTATCAGATCTACCCTTCACAGTTTTATCTAAATTCTCTCATTTCTCCTGCTTAGTAGATGCCTTCTTCCAATCGAACTAAAACAGGGGAAAAAAAGCCCCAAATAATAGGATTCAGCTATTAAAACTGACATGTTCTTAGGACACTTTGAAAAAGTAAGTGCAATAAAGATGTACATAACGTAGCACTTGTGTAGGGGAAATCTGTAGTGCAACGTGAATCTGGGCTGCCTCCATTGGAGAATCTTTAACACTTTTGGAAAGAGGTGTAACTGCAGACACTGAGGTAGCTCATGCTGGTTAATGCTGGCTGGATAGTAGGTATTTTTTGCACGGTACTGTGGGAGTTTGAAAAGAAGGACTCTCCTAATTCACAGCATGCACAGGGAAGTACTTAATCGCTGCAGTAGCTTTTAATACTGAAGCTGACTGCAAAATGTAAATCTTTAAATACCAGAATTCTGTATTAGAAGCTAGATACATTTATACCACACTGTCTCACTGCTTTTGTGTTATTTCCTCAAGCATTTCCTCAATCACATAAGCAGGGAACATAGCTACAAGGAATATTTGCATTCTTTATGCAGAGTAATTAATTCAGTTCTCCAAGCACTAAGTTCAACCTAAGCTCAGGCTGAACACTTCTGGACAAGAAAGCATCAACAGTACAGAAATACTAGTCAGTTAATCCAACAAACGATCCAATCAGGCTATTTCTATTAAAACATTTTCCTTTGTCTAAGGCTGTGTATGTACAATATATATGATGACTGATGCACATGTACCTATTATTTTCCACTGTCTCCTTCCCTTTCTTTTCTCCCTGTAGCCCTGACTCTTCCTCACAGAATGTCTTTCTCTGACATACCCTTTTGACCTGACAAACTCCCTTCTGTACCACTGAACCAGGGAAGGGAACTGTTTCTGTGCAGTTTCATTGATTAGCATTTATCATTTCATGAGCACTGATGGGGATAAAGCTCCTCTAAAGATGTTTTTCTCATTATTTAAGAAAAATTTAAAGTCATTTAATGGAAGAAAAACTGAAATAAACCCAAAGCAAAATGGGAATATTTCAGTCTGTCTCCTCTGGTCTAAATCTGGGCATTATCTGTCAGGGAATGCAAAATGCCTCATGTTATCGTGGACTGCCTTACAAAGAAATGAAAATTTGCCCCCAAAACTTGCAACTTGACACGCTCAAATCCCAGTTTCCCTTAATGAAGCACTCCGCTCTCACTGAATTCTTCATTGCATCAATAAATCATGTACAGTTCTCCTCCTGAATACAAATGGGCTTTAGGTCCTACGTACAGAAGCCACCTTTAACAGCACATCCAGCGAGCCTATGAAACCGCGTACACGCTTGGGAATGGAAAAGCCGTGACTGTATTTCAAGACCATACACGACCTGGACAGCGTTATTAGAGGGCTTGAGTAACGGGGTAAGTGTCACACACCCAACCAAGTCACAAACATGCAAACGGATTACTCACCTCAAGCACAAGAAAAGCATAAAGGCAACTATAAGGGCCCCTACTGATATACAGTGCCCCAGGTAGTTTATGATGAGAGCAATCTTGTAATGGAGCGCATACTTCCTCTGGAGGTAAAGAGATAACATGATTAAATCAGCATGACTCTCTAAGCACTGACATTAAGGAACAGTTAATCAGTTTAGGAAACAGTAATTACTTTTCTCAACTTTAAAATTACATAACGGCCCCCAGGCTGATGCCTATGTATAAGTCCAACATGCTGCCCAGGCACAGTAGTACTGGCTTAGTTTCACTTCAGTTTGGGATTTGTCCGCAGTTTCTTACAAATCTCAGGGGGGAAAAAAAAGTGCTTATTTTCTCCCTTTTCCCCTGCAATTTCCTCAGGATTTCTTATTTTTATTATTACGCTATTTTAAGATTTTGTCATTTTGGGGTGACAAAGCTGTATCAAAGACACATCTCACAGTATCGAAAGTTATAAAGCATTATTTTGCTAGGAAACTGCACAGTCTTAATGAGCCAGGCTATGCTACGTTCCTACTCAAATGGTTTGGTTTTCATACAAAACTGAATCAGTTGCCAGTAAGAGTAAATAATAAGCCCCTTCCATACTAGCAGATTATTCTCTGAGGTGCATTCCTTGCAAGCTAAGATCCTTACCATTCAAATTAAGGGCAGAACCAATGCAGACTGAAAGAGCTGGGATCTGGTGGTGTCCTTTCAGTTTTGAGAGCCTGGACCAAAGATCCCATTGTTTTTAGCAGAGACCAAAGAACCTGCTGAAACTTAACGTATTAATGCCTATTTCCTAAGATGCTGAGGACATTATTGGCAGGGTCTTGATCCTGTAAACAAAAAATTCAGTACAAAAGTGCTCCCACTTAAACCAGTGAATTTAGTGATGTGACCAAAAATTTGACCTCAAAGAAACTGGAACATTCTTTATTGGTGGGCTGCTGCTGGATTCAGAAAAAAAGAGAATCACCTTCTCTCTTTGCCTGATGGATAGGAAGAAGTTAAAAAAAATCCCACTATTCAGATAAACATTGAAGCTCGTTAAAATTTGACAGAGGTTTGCTGCATAAAAAAAATCCACCCTGAAAAAAATATTTATTAATTTATTAGTTTTGGCATTTGTTTCTTTTCAGGTTAAGCAGAACTTTCCCCACTTCAAGATGTTGTCCTCCTTCAGAAGAATGAAAACTAACCTAATTTCCTCCCTTGTGATAAAAATATAAAAGTAAAGCCCTACAGATAGCATGAGTTTTCTAATTTTGGTTGAACTTGCTTTGTTTCATTTTTTTCCTAACCATTTCCCTTAACATTTTATTCCAGTCAAAGGAATTTTTTCAGTGAATGAATGTTTGGATGAAACTACAACCAGCAGCTGTAGTTAATCTGTTCCATTGTTCTGTGAAGATAACATCTCCAAGGACTTTGCCACAGAGCGAGCAAGCATTCTTGGAATCATTTTTTGTGATGAAACCTGCCTGTATCTTCAGCACATGGAGTAATGTGCCGGTTCTGGACTGAAATCAACCACGTAAGGTATTTTTAAGTCTTTCATAAAATCCCTTAAAATAAACTTCCCCATGTGCAGGCCCATTTTCTGAATAGCCTCGAGGAGGAAAAAAAAAACAACAAACCCAAGATAAAACCCAAACCCCAAACCTAACCTAAACAAAACTACAAGATCCAAATTCCACACTGAGTTTTATTTATCCTTGAGTCACAGGGACACCTAAAGGGACACTTGACCTGATGTGCCTACCTGAAATGCAGTGTTGTACTGCAGCTAGTGTCCGGACAAACTGACTTGCTTATTTATTTCTTATTTAATTCATAGATTCATAGAATCAGAGAATACTACAAGTTGGAAAGGACCCATAAGGATCATTGAGTCCAACTCACTGCTTCTTGCAGGACTACCTAAAACCAAACCATAGGACTAAAAGTGTCATCCAGAATCACTCATGTCGTGCTAGAAAACTTCTGGGAGATCAAAGAATCATAGAATAATTCAGGTTGGAAAGGACCCTTGGGATCATTGAGTCCAACCAAGATGACAGTGTTTCTCCCAGTCCAAGGATCCCTTCAGTTCGATCCTTTGGTTTCTAACCACTATTTCAACTTCACTCAGGTGTTAAGAAGGTATGATTGAAATCCACAAGAAAATCGATTAGAAAAAAAGCGTAATTAAGCTCTTCTTTGATACACTGAAAAACTGGCACAACTTTTTTATTTTTTTTCTGTTGCCGACAATGACAAGGCTTCCCGAAGGCACATTCAAGTATCACACAAACAAGAACTGTCTCAGTGCCTACGAAAAACTAAACTGACAGGCTGCAAGATCACTTTCCACCTGCCTACATGCAATCTGCATCTCTGATGACCTGGAGACAACACCTTCAGGGCTGAAAAACACGTGCCCGGAACCAGTCATGTGTTGGCCAAAGCTCAGTTCGTGTAAAACACTTGCGTAACATTTTTCTGTCTCACCCTTTGGAAGAGTGACACATTTCAAAAGGGTAACAACCTTCTGCTGTTACCCAATATTCCTCTGCTTCCAGGAAGCTGCTTCACTTCACTAGAATGCAGCTGTAAACCCTACTTAGGCTGAGGACGAGGGTCATTAGCAGAGAAAAGAGAAAGAAAAGGAGATGGTCTGGACATTCGGTTAGCCTTGCTCTCCAGACCACAGCAGGACACATCAGCAGAGTCCTTTTCCATGCCACACCTTTTGCATGACAGTCATGTTACACCAGACAGTGTGGAGTTGGATTCCAGTAAGCTTTTACCAGGTAAACGGAGGAAGCATAGCTTTATGTCTTTACCTGCATCCGCTTGGCAAATCTAAGGCACGCTGGGCTCCCTGCAGCCAGATTAACGATGGAGTCATTCTGTCTAGAGGACTTTTCCCTTTCCTTTAGCTAGGACGTGACTGCTAAAGTGTCCAAACCAAATCAGCTAACGACTTGAACTAACAACCACCTAATGACAACACTCTTAGCTCTCCAGATGACAAGGATCTTTCTCCCTCTAACATAGCTCACTGACAGGTCCTGCCAGTGTTTACAGACATCTTCATGCAAGGCTCTGCACTTCACTCCCAGTTCAGTCACTTTAGATTTCTTCCTGCTGCCAGGATGATCTCATCACCAGTACAGTTGAAAGACACCCTATCTCCTCTCCAAAGACTTTCAGAAGCGACTGGGAAGTCTCTTTGTGATCCAAGATGCCTCTGAGTTCACTGCTTTCCTGTTCTGAGCCAGCTGGAAGCTGGGCAAGCTACGGCTGATGTGACAGTGCTCCTAAGCAGGATAACTTAAGCCCAGCATGGTGCTAACCCAGCTACACAGCTTGAAGCCACCTCAAAACATAGTAGAGCCAAACTCATATCCAGCTGCCATAAGCCACATAGACAAGACCAAAGTTCCTAATTTATAGCTGATTTTGGAGCCTGAGATACATTTTTTGCTGCCTAAGACCCTCATTTGTTTTCTAACGAGAGCACAGATTTGTGCCTGATGCAGGAAAGATCCCTCTGACACAGGAGGCTGTAGGCTGAGTAGAAGATTTCCATTTGTCACACATTCTGCCACCTGACAGCCAGCTGGATCACAATGATTTCTGTACCTGATTCCTCTGCCTGGAGATAGAGCTAACTGGCTCTTCAGAGAATGGGATTCAGTCTGATGTTAGGACACCTACATTTGGGTAATTACCCACCATCCAGATCAGTATCTGAAGGAAGGACTAGAATCCTTGAGGTGCACCCAGGAGACTCTGTGCTTCCTAACTGGTCCTGGTGACTGATCTCCAGTTGCTGCTGCTGAAGAACGCAGGGACCCCAGAAGGTCTGTGCCAAACCTGCCAGATCCACGAGTCTCCATGGTGGGGGCGTTATAAACGACACCATCTAACCCAATGCAGGCAACTAGATCCCAGCCACAGGGGGAATTGAGGAGCAAAGCAGTCCCAGAGCACAATTCTATCAGTTGCTGCCACTGGTCTTGACCACAAGTCTAACAATGACGTATTAATGTAATGCATGGTACAGGAGCTTATGCCCTCTAAGAGTGACAGCCGAAAAAAAAAAAATTTCCCTTGCTACATTCCCAACACTCTGTCACAAAGCATGTAGCATAGTGTCGATCTTGAAAAGTCCTGTTCCTCTCCCATGTACCAATCACTGCATCTGAAGTCAAACCATGTAATTCTTTAGCACTCTGGCTGTAAGTGGCCCAGCTTGAAAGTAGTGCTGCTTTCTGTATTAAAAATAAATACAAAAGCCAGGGCGCACCTCTTGGCTGATGTTTAGCATCTCCTGGGATCAGTCAATAAATAATAAAAGGCCCATATGTGTGTTTGCATCTCACCTTTAATCAAAATGGAGGATTACAGAAATCTTGTGAGGATTTTTCCTTTTTTTTTTAACTTTTTTTCTGAGATCACGAAGCAACTCAAGTATTCATCTGTAACACTGGGCATTATGTAGAGATTTCAGAAATATTCACAAATATTAATATTTGCAAAGCTTGTCGCAAATCTTTGAAGATCTAATAAATGAGTTTTTAAGCTTTTGCAAACAAGGAGCGGGAGGGGGGAACAGCTGCAGTTTCATCTGCTTAAGGAACATGCTATTTAAGAAGTTTTAAGCCATCACCATAGCTGCAAAGTTTTTAAAAGCAAAAAACAAAGTAAAGGAAATAATCCTGTCCTCTAGTCACAACACTTCTCCAGCCTCTTCAAATAAAACTCCTCTGTACTTGCTTCTGCAGAGATAGCAACTGTTCAAGCCATGCAGACAAACCCATAGAGAGTGTCATTAAAATGCAGCAGCATTTTCCTGCGCTGCCACAGCAGACTGCTACTATCAATTCAGGTTTCCCATATCAGCTAAACCACATCAAAGATTCTGAGTCATTGCCCGGCTCTCTTCTTCATTCTAAATCAGCACTGGCTGCTAGACACACCCACTCTTGCTCATTTTTAGGAGGCTGGTTTCACAGAAGTGCAAATCCCTTTCACTCAGACATGGTCTGCTACCGTGGCTTGCTGTTCCCCTCAAGTCCAGCCAATGCTTTCACTCCCCTTGCTTGGGCTGGCCCCAGCATTCCTGAAATAACACAACAAAATGGTTTAGGGACCTGATTCATCAAAAAAAAAAAAAAATATGACCCAGCAAAAAGTTTTTCATGTTAAGTGAGACAGAAACGTAAGGAGGGGGCTGCACTGTGTTGGTCCCAACTTACATCAGGTTGAATGGCCACGGAAGCCTCTCCACCGTGCCAGACCACCCTGAACGTGTACCAGTCCCTCTGGATGGCTGTCAGGGACTGGTTCCTTTTTTCTTGCTTTCAGGCAGCTTCTACCAAATGGAGGTGTCGGGGAGTGGGCTGTCACCGAATTACCTAGCCAGCGGATAAGAGCAGGCACTCCTCAGCAGCTGGTGTGGAGTTACCTACTGCTGATTCACTTGTCAAAGCCCATATTCAGCAACTCCATGGACCTTACAGGACGGGTGCTGGGCCACAGCCCAGCATGAACAGTTCTGGGTGCAGCATTAGTCCAGATAATTCCCAACGGATCCAGGTTAGCTCTGCAAAGAGCCCTCAGGAGGGGAGACGTTGTCTTCCTCCTCTCTGCAACTGCCATGGAGCAACTGAAATGACAGAATGAGCGCAATGAACCCCAAAACATAAACAGGTCTGAGTTGTTGGGCTGCTCCCTGGTTCTTAGAGGGGAAAGTCACCCCTGTCACGCAGACACCACAAAGTCTACGTGTGCTTGTGTCCCACTGAACCACTCAAAGCAGGAGGAAGAGGAAGAGAACACGGCATGAAAGGCTGTGTTTAAACTGTGTGAGGATGAATACCTATGATGCCTTCAAGAAAAGCTAAGGTATTTGACAAGGAAAGGATTTTGTGTCATTGCTTGCAGCCTTTTGGAAGGAGCTTAACCCTATATGGTAATTTCATCCTGTAAACCCCTATATAATGCAAGACTGGCTCAATATTTTAAAGGCAGCTGGGAATCGAGTCTACTTTTTACGTATTTTTCTGTTGCTGCCCCTTTACAGATTTGCTGAAGGAAAAACGACACTAAGGTCTGGAAAGGCCAGTTGTTGGTGAGACTTCAGAACTAATAGGTACAGGGTGGAATCAGCTGGTGAAAGCTTATTTTTCAGTGCCAAAGAAGCTTTTGGTTTTATTGTTTTTATTACTAACATTTACTGTAGCAGCTGTAGGCTCTGAACAAAGCTAGGAAGGATCTGCATAAGCATACATCATCAGGGACAGAGTGTAATAAAGCATCCTTTTTAAAAAACCATGTGAGTAGGAGATACAGAGAGAGGATAAGTGATTTGTCTGAATTTACAGGGAGCATTTGTTGCAGTGACAGAAATGGAATCCATCTCAAAAGTCCCAAATTAGTATGTTAACCTTAAGCTTAGTTTTACATTCATGTACGCTGAGAAATGTCATTGAGAAGAATGAAGGGAAAAATACAGACCTTGTCATCCAGAATAGGCTCGCACTGAGAGTAGTTTATCTTGGAAGCCCATGTCCCATTGCCCAGGCATTCTCTGTAAGCATTTCCTGGTATGGACCAAAATAAAAGAGAGATGAACATTTTGTGGTGGACTTCAAACAGCTTAGCCAATTCACAGATTTAAGAAGTTAACAGAATGGATTATTCACAAGACAAATCAATTTATCCCACCTTTGGGAGGACCAGAACAGCCTGCTGAGGAGAGAAGAGGAGAAATAAAGGATATAAACACATCTAGAGACAACAAGTATTTAAAGATACCTATTGATGTTTTCATAGAACATATGATTTTGGAAGACAGAAAAGGTATGAGAAGAACGTTGCAACAGAAAGCTTAATGCTAGTACAGTCTTTTGAAAAGCAGTTAAATGATGTACTTAAAAAAAGGCAGAAAGGTTTAGGTCTTTATCCTCCATCTAGGAGAATGGTATGTGCACGGTATTGCTCTGTTCCCCTCCTATTCATCCCACTGTAAACTTAAAAGGAATATTCCTGGAGATACCAATTTTCTACAATCTTCCTATGCAACAATATTATTGGTAAAAGGTCTGCAAAAACCTGGAGAAGGAGCAAGATAGCCACATCTCCCAGCCTGGGATGTCTCTGGGCTGTCTCTGAACTGACTTCAGAAATGTGTACACCCAGGTTAGGATGCGTTCACCCATCCTCTGTGAAAAAGAAACCACATGTCATCTTTTTCCAAGGTGCCAGTTCTCCCAGAATATAAGTGAAAATCATGGATTACTCCACTGAAACAGAGAGATTTCATGGGCAATCACAACGTTATCTTGAAGGAACTCAGAGAGAAAACTGCGGTTTTGCTGTACAAACTACCTTCTTTCACCCATCAAAAATGCATCTAACCCCAAGCAGTAGCTCTTTTTTTTCCCATGTTTATTTTGAACTGTGTCTTAGAAACACGAGAATTAAAATAAAACAGGAAATTCAGAAAGATCCCCAATGGACACATACAGACAACTTCCTATGAACTTCTCACGATGATCTGGCTGCCCTTTACCCAATTTCTTCTTGAGCCTTTGCCATGGTCATTCAGTGACCCAGTTCAGCACCCAGACATCAAGAAAATAAGATGTCAAATAAAAACATCAGGCTGAACATTTCTGAAAGTGCGTGGACAACAGCCATTGAAAAAAGGTAGAAAGACTTTCGAAAAAGCTCATTTTCCTGCAGAGAAGGGAAGTGCACATGGAAAACAACACGGAACAGTTCAGCTGCATGCTCCAAATTACACCATATCCAGAAAGATCACTGCATTTCATCTTGCTATTTCTTGTTTGCACTTCTTCACTGGTTCTTCTTAGAGTCACAAGGTCAAAATAAAATAAAATGACGTTTGGGTCAACTACAAAAACTTGTGCTAAAGGTTAAGGACCTCAGTTTCCATTTCTGTCTCTAGTTTACAAACAAATTCACACACTTCCTGCTTTCTCTTACTGGAGAACCAAATCTGAACTGCCATTTTCAGTGCAATTTTTTTGGTGCAGTTTTCCCCTGAAAGTTAAACAGGTGATTAGACGGTGATTAGACTCCTCTCCCCACTGCTCTATTATTATGCAACACTCCAAGCTAAATGTGTCTTGGGACATTTTATACTCCCTTCCTCTGAAATCAGGTCTGAATGGGATTCAGGTGGTTGCATCTGAGTTACATGACTGAAAGTCCTTGTATTTGGCCCCGACTTTTGGCCAGTCCTGAAACATTCCGTGCAGTACGGTTGCAGATTCTGAGTCTCTGCATAAAATATCTGACTCTCCAGACACTGAGTGGGACTGCACTATGTCTTCCCTGGTCATTAAAACCTTCTTTTCAGAAGGATAAATCATAAAATCATAGAATGTTAGAGGTTGGATAGGACCTCAAAAGATCATCTAATGTTTCTCAAATTTCTTGTTCTAAAGAATTATTAGACAACAGATCATGATCAGCAAAGGAAGACTGAGTGCAACAAATGCCACCCATTTCCACCTTCTTTTTGATGTGTAACCCCTCCCCTTAGAATATTAGGCACCACAAAATGTGCCTCTGAGCTCTCTTTCAGTGCAAACACAGGACTCCTGTACAACATACCCACCAAAACAGTTCTTTGAAAGCAGTGAACTGGGTTTACGAGCTGTCCCTCTGAACAAGAGGAGGATAAAATCAAACTCTGAATTCCTCTCATCCAGAATCTCTTCTGGTATCAGCCACTTCTCAGAAACAAGAGCAGCAAGTAGATCCGACTTCTGGGAATGTCTCATTCCAAACTCTAGTAGTCATAAGGAATTTATACCCCAAAGTAAAGGTCTTCTTTCTTCCAAATGCCTTGCAGCCTCAGTTCTAATAGCCATATGGAAATAAGGTTTTGATCATACTTAATGTATTTTTGTACATCTATTTTAAAAACATAATACAGAACTTCTACCCAGTGCTTTAAGGGAGAAATATCTGTGTGAGTGAGGTGTTGTTAAAGAGTAAGAGCCTCACTGCAGGCATCGGGAAGAAGCAACTTTTGTCCATGCACAGATGAATCCTATGGTATACAGTGAATTTAGCATTTCTTAGGGATATTGGACCAATCTTATACACCCTGGGCAGAGGCTCACTTGTGAGTTTGTGTATCTCCACATGGAAGACCTCAGATAAAATAACGGGAACTTCAAACAACCATCTTAGTCTTTTTCACAGGAGGAAGCAGCTGCTTCATAGCAAACCCGCTTACTGTCACCACCAGCTCAGAGAAGGTGAAGAAATAAGACACTGGACTCGGTGACAGGCTGAGTCACCGGGACATGCAGAGTTGTAGCAGTGATTGAAGCAGCAAAGAGCTGACAAAAAAGATGACAGATACATTGGTTCTATGAAAAGACAGCAATGGAAGATCCATGTTCCCCAGCTTCAGAGCATGTAAAGGAAAAGAAGAGGGAAAAAAAAAAGAGTCTGGTCTTGCCAAGAGACTTCTACATTCTCTCTGGTGATTGAACATGCTAAAGAATCCTCCTTCCCACCTGGTTTTCCAAGAAGAACTGGGTTTAATGTGCTTTGTGCTAGAAGCTTTCTTGTCCTTTACTTTAAAGCAGTGTGTACAGAAAAAGACTGGTTAAAGTTGAGTCTTTCTTAAAAATTGTCATGAAAAATAAAGAGAAAATGGAAGAGTCTTGATGGAGAATTCCACTGCAGAAACAAAGGACATTCAGGAAGAGAAGAACAGTTACATGATCTTTCTAGGAGAACAACAGCTAATGAAAGCTATTAACACTATTTCTTTTTTTTTCCTAGTTAAAAAAAAAAGTTACATTTTTGATTTTCTTAGACAAATGGCATACTGAAGAACTTGGTATATTTTCTAATTTCTCCTTCCTCACTGACTTTATTCTAAAGAACAGATACACAAAATAAAAAGATTATATATAATGCAACTGGACAAGCAGATTTAATCTTTCTGCAAACAAATAACGAGCAGTAGGTGATTCATGATGACACAGGCAACACACAGCCATCATGCACATGGTTTTTGACACATCATCCAATATTTATTTCTGTGCTTCAGTCTATGGCCTCTTCTTTGGCTTTGAAAACGTTGATTTCCTTTTGTTATAGATTATCAGCAGGATTTGTGGCCCTTGATCGCTTTTTCTTAACCATCAATCCTGGGGATAGGTAAGGAAGGAAGAGGGAACTCCCTGAATAGAAAGAAATAGGGCTCAGCCTGTCACTCAGGTTGCTAGCTTCCAGAAAATGTATTTCATCCCTTCCAGGCCAGCCAGCATAACATATGCTTTTTCGTATTTTCTCTAAGGGCTGATTCAGCCATGCTTATCGTAGTCATATTCTATCAATAAAGCCAATGACCGCAATGGCAATATTCCCAGAGTCAAACACAGCAATTAGAGCTCCTCAGAGACTGCAATACCTTCCACGGCTGTTTGTGCTCTGGAGTGGTGGCTGCTTTTTGACAGCCCAGTGCCAGACCTCACTTCTACACAGCAGTCAACATTTCAGCTCCAAACACAAAATAGATGCGCATACACATAGACAGTAGATGTACCAATATTTGCACTTCTCATGGGCTCTAAGGTGAAGCAAAAGGGATCGTCATTTCTGAAAAACTTGGTATCATGTCATAAAAAGGTAAGTAAAAGATCTGAGCATGACTGTAACAAAGCAGTGGCAGGAATAGAACTGGGAAACCCTATTCCTTACAACAAGCCACCCATGTTCCATCTGAACAGGGATTCTTCGATTCATGAAGCTATTGTAAAAGCAACACTAGCCAAAAAAGTCCTGGCGAACAAAACTGTTCCAACCCACTTCATAAAGTCTTTGTTAGCAATGTGTCACTGTTCACTCTTAGCTTTAATGGCCCTTAAGAGTCCCTTTAGCAAGGAGGGAACTTTCATCACTGCAGATTTCATGGGGTCTTCAGAAATAACGTGTTGGGAAGCGTTCAGGAACGAGCAGTGGGGTGAGGATATTGTAGGTAGTAATATGGTGCTAAATTTCCCTGAGTCCAGTTTTTGAGACAGGCGTGCTCAGCTCTGTCTATTTTTTTAAATGTTTTTTCTCTGAATAAACTCAAAGAAACAATCAAATAACTACAGGAACGACTCACTCCTATACGTTTTTATATACGCACCCACATACACACACGTATTACTCTATAGAACCTGATCTTTTCTTAGTGGAATAGAGCAAGTGCAAGTGAGAAATTTGAAGGTGGAGATCAAAAGTTCATTGAAAGGAGAATAAAAATAGTCTTGCACTTATCTCAAAGTTGAGCATGATAATTACAACTCTGTCTAGTTTTGGGGCAAACAAGATTTTTTAATGAAAGCCCAGCATACCTGTTGTTTAAATAAAGAGAAGCTGATCAATGCAGATTTGAGCAAGGTATCCCCAAACAACCCATACACCAATAATAATAGATAATGATTTTGAACTGACATGGAAGGACCTGAGAGAAGCTTGCAGACTCCATTTGGTCCTTTTGAAGGACTCCTCACACTCAGGATAGCTGTTTGATAAAGGACTCAGCACCAGTACCACAAGA